CATCGTAAACTCAATTGCTTTAAAGGGCCGGATCAAAGCCAAGCACCATCCCTGCAACTTCAGCTGGTGCTATGTGATCTGGAGCAGCTCACCCGGGCAGGTCTGTCCTGGGGGGACACATATCTGTCAGGGAGGTCCCCCCCAAGAGCCCTGAGGGTCCTTGGTGGCCCAGGAGCCATGTAATTTGGGAAGCACCACGCAGCTTGCATTTAGGCAGGTTTAAAATAAGAATTCCAAGGGATGGGATTTATGAATGCTCAATCTGGTGCTGAACTGCAGTAGCAGGCTGGGCTCCTGCAGGAAAAGTATGTTTTAAAATAACATCCCTCGAAAACACTGTTTCCTCCAAGTTCTTAGTGGAAACAATGAACCATCTGGGTATGCCTAGAAGCTGTTTCTTAAAATAAAATCATTGTCTAACAGTTCTTAAAAAAAAAACCAAAAAAAACAACAAAACCACAGAAAACCCCCAAAACACCAACAAAACACAGCAGAAAACCCAAGCCCACCAGAAAACTGTATCAAAGTATCTGTTCACCGTAGCAACCTCAACAAAAAAAAATTTAGATCTTGCATGTGGCAGACCAGAACAGCAACTCTTGGTATTCCACGATCTCACCGTGCTGGTATCTGAAGATATGAACTGTTCCCTTACCAATTCGCCTGATTATTTCCTCGCTTTCTTGCTCAGAACTCGCTGCAAACACCAGGCAGTCGAATGTGCTCCCGTCAGGGCTCTCCGGGGAAGCACTAAAAATGGAAACACACACATTAGCCGGCAAAGAGAGCGGCTCTGAAAGCCCAGCCCCGGCTTGTAACCACACCAGAGACCCCGCGGCTGATCTGGATGTCACTTGTTGATTTTCTAAGACCCACATCCCTCTACATCGCCCCTCCCGGGGCCCACGGGCAGCACTTACGCCACGCAGAAGGCAAATAAATTGCTGCTGTCCACGCAGCGTCCCACGCAGGAGATGGTGGGGTAGGGGCAGCGGCACAGGAGCTGCACAGAGAACAGGAGGGAGACAGCGCTGGGGGTTGCACTTGGTCCCTGTCATCCCTGCTCCGGGTTTAAGCTGGCTCCATGACCCCTCCGGCAGGGCTGCCTGCACCACGAGGTCGGCAGCCTTGGGGGTCACCGGTTTATTCCTGTAACCGCTCTCAACTTGGCTGTTACTCACTCACTTTGGAAGACGTCTTCTCCTGTACAAAGACTTCTGCTTCCTTCACGTCAAATAAAACCTCCTGGATGGGGGATGGAGGGGAAAGAAACCCAAATCATCACGGCATCTGAGCTCTATTTTTAATGAGACACTTACAAGAGAGAGATTATTCAAAAGCAGAGGTGACGAAGCACGGTCAAGCACAGCTTTTTCAAGGAGATTTCTCTGTGCTGCCCCCCCCTTTTTTTTTTTTCACCCCCAAGCCTTCCT